GTTTGGTGCACAACACTTCTATGATAAAACAAGAAAGGACATGCATCGTAATCATCAACTTATTTAAAGAAGTGAGAGGAGATGGCGTGGAGAAGAGCCACTTTGTTCGGTTTCTCATTTGGGAACGTTGAATCTGGGTCAGAGGGACCAGAAGCCCAGTCGTGCGTTTTCTGTCGCTTATTTCCGCTCCACCGGCGGGCGCCGCCACAAGTCCAGTCCAGGGACGCAGGCGGGGGCCTGTGACTACAGATGTCCAGCGTCTTTAGGCCTCTCCGTGTCCGAGACGGGGCTGAGAACTCAGAGGGGCTTCAGGGGGAGTCTCGAGAGTCTGATTTATCTCTCACTGACGAGCTGTTTGTCAGGAGGATTCAGTCGAGGAGAGCCGCGTTGATCCGAAGTGAACATTTGTCATCTGACTCCATCACACCACAAAGCGCACGCAAGGTGCCGCTTTTTTTATCTGCTTCCCTGTATTTTGAGCTCATTTTGGCTCCGTTTGTGTTGGTGGTGCAGCAAAAAGAGACATTTTTTTACCTTGTCCTGTTCAGCATTTATGAAATCTGAGTACTCTTAGTCGTATGCTGAGCAAAACTGCTTTGCCAAGGGAGGTTTAGTTGGTGAGAAGCCCCCCTTCGATTACCCAAAACTGCTTTATTTATTCATTTTTCTTACCAAACTTCCATGTGTCCAATAATGCAGAACCTGACAGAGAGAAAGGGAAGAAAGAAGAGAGGTGGAAAGAAAGGAGAGAGATCCTTTAGACAGAAAGAGAAAAGGGGAAAAAAAAGAATAAAGAAAGACAACAAGACCATATAACCAAAAAGGAGAAATCAGGGTGGAGAACCATGCCGAAAGTCTTCGTTTTGCCTCATCATGTGAGAACACAGAGGATGGATTCTGAGTAAAATTTTGGAATTTGTAGAGATTCCATCATCCAAGCACCTGAAGTCAAACTAATGTGCGATTCGAGCCCCCGTGTTCAGCTTCTGCTTCAAACACAAACTCTGTAACACATCCTGTTTTTTTTTCCATCTGCAGGTAAAAAATTCGCCCACATTTTACCTTCAGTCTGAATTTCCTGCTCACACCACCCACATAATTAAAACACACCCACTTCCTGATCACAGCAACATAAACCATCAGCCAAAGAGCCAAAACAGAAGATCCTAAACGCCTCGCTTCTTTATTTTTATCTATTTCTTCTTTCCGCATGGCCTGTTGGCAGGTGGTCGTTGGTACTCTCCTCTGATTGGTCGGATCCCGGCGTGCAGGTCACCTGTCCTGTGTGTGTGTGTGTGTGTGTCACCTCTCAGCCTTGATTAGCCGACGCTAATCTGGGACGCGTCTCTGCCCACGGAGGCGATCCTCTGGCGGTTACCATGCCAACGGCAGCTCCTTCTTTTGTCCCCGGACTTTCGTTCGGCGGCTCGCCGTGTGGCCTAATGGGATCAAACGGCAGAAGTTCCACCACAAAGACGCGTCTCTGCATAGTTGTTGTCCACATTGTGTAATGGAGAGCCTCCAGAGTGGTTACAGACCAGGAAAAAAGTCACGTGCACAACAGGGAGCGAGAGATTTAGCTCTGATAAACATCCTGATATTACAGACGACTGACAGCTTAGTCATCATGTGTAATCAGGGACAAACATTATCCTGTTCAGGTTCATATTCTATTCGAGAAGTGTTTATTATATCTGACTGTCATGGTCAGGCCGGGAAATATTCAGGGATGTAGAAGATATAAAAATGGGAGTTAAAAGTGTTAAATGGAAATATTGTCGGAGGTCAGACGGTTAAATGTGAACTCAAGAAGTCCGATTCATTCTAAAGACAGAAAAAAAACGCATAAAAATGTGTCAGATCTCAGTTTTTTTGCTCTTACGTGTAATTTGCAAAGCAAAATTTAACAGGAATCTGAACGTTCTTATATAAACTATATATATTATATTCAATCCATATCCAGCTGTAAATGTAGTTCACAATACCAGTTATCTATATATTATATTCAGAGTACACATCTATCTGTAAAATTCTGCTTATAATAGTATTTATCTCTATATTTATACGGTACGTATCCATTTTATATCTGCACTTGCTGCTATTACACTTCTGGTTTTGTTGCCTTGTACCTGTGTAATGACAGTAAAGTTTAATCTAATCTAATCTAATAAACTAGAAGAATCTAACTTTCTTAGTGTGAATAAATCATTCAGTGTGTGCTTTCACCTGCTACTTTTCCCAAGGCCATCAATCAGAGTGTCAATCTGTTTACTGTGATAAAAGTATTGAAGAAAAAACACAGTTTACACCAAGGCTGAATTATGTCATTTATCCAGCAGAATACCAGATAATAACTAAAATGGTGGTCAGGGTTCCCCTCGTCCTACTTGCAGTTACCGGGTGTTTTTACTTCCTTTTGCGTGGGATTCTGCCGGGCTCCGTTCACCGTTTAGATCCAGGTAACACTCGATTTATTCTGCGGGAACAAGCTCATCTGCACAGTTCTGCGCTTTGTTGGGGTCTGTTCTGTTGCCATGTCTCCCAGATTTATTTTTATCTTCTGGCGTCTGTGTGTGAAAAACACTGTAAGAGGTTTCTACCCATCAGTGAGACTTCCACATGAGGGGAGACTGTCAAGTTTATTAACACTAAACATGTTTTTTTTTTTCTTAAAACAGAAAATTAAATAGAAAGATGCATAAATCTGAGTAACAGAAGCTGGAATTTGTGTGAAAACAACGTTTTAGTCGGTTTCATCTGCTTATTTAGCCAAGAGACTCATCTGTTCACACCCAAATTCTACACACACATTAATATTTCATGAATGGAAAAGAATGGAGACACTTCAAAACAGTGGATATAACACAATCTAAAGTTTTCTATTTCGATTTCATTGTTTGTTTTATTACATTTTGCATGGTAACTGGCTAAGTCCTTTTTTCTAAAGTGTTTTTAAACTAAATATGTGCATGCCCTCTCTGGGAAAGTTAAGCCGAATGTTCCCCTCATGGTTACTGGTCCTATGGTAACCGAGTGTTTGTCCTGAGTGGAGGTGTTTTTAACACCGGGCCTGTGGGAGGTCAGCTTTGATATTAACTCACACAAATGCCTGTTTATCAGAAATGATTCGCTTTGATTCAGAGAAAACGAAATTTGCTGGAAACTATTCATTAAAACTGTATTAGATGGAAAAAATGAAACTACCAAACAGGTTCAGATTTTACTGCTCAGGTTTTAGTATGCAAATATTAAGCATATTAATAATTATGATGGCTGGAACACTAAGCTGTAATCTGTGCTATGATAATAATATAATAGTAATATATAATCATAATAATAATAACTATAATAATATACAATCTGTACTATAATACCATATATATACATGTTGTCAATAAGTTCTCAACTTTTAATGATATATGTTCTATCTATCTATCTATCTATCTATCTATCTATCTATCTATCTATCTATCTATCTATCTATCTATCTATCTATCTATCTATCTATCTATCTCTATATAGATATATGTGTTGGACACAGGCACCCTGTGAGCTGATTAGAAGCTCGGCTATTAAAAGAAATCCAACAGATTGCTGTTTTTGCATGAATAAATACCAGCAAACGCTTTTCCATTTACAGTCATTAACTTGTTTTTCCTCAGTTTGTAAGATGAGTGAGCAGGAGAAGCTGAAGCCTCGGCTTTCTCTAACTGTGAGTCAATATTTCCCCCTTTTTTGTCCGACACCACGCTCCTTGTTTGTTTGCCTCGATATCAGAAAGCTGTGATAAAACTTTGATGAAGCCTTGAGGCCTCATAGCTACTGCATCTATAGTCAGATATCATCCAGAGTAGCTCTGCTATTCCTAGTCTTAAAAAAACAAGATATCTCATATGGGGTATCTCCATATCTAATTTCACCAAAACAAAGATGGACAGAGGACAAAATGCTTCATAAATGTCATCATAATCTGACACATCCGATCAACTCAAATCCATCAAAATAAACTCATCTGATCGTTTTTACAGGACTCTTTTTTTCTGTCTAGGTTTGTCTAAAACTGTGCGCGTTTCTGTTGCCAAGCAACGGGCGGCACGGCGAGGACCTGCCTCTTCTGGCTCTTTTCGTTTCTCCACGTCCACAGCAGCCAAATCCTGGAGTGATCTCAGACTCAAAGTGGAGGCTTTTGAGCTGGATTTGAACATGTTCATGCTCATTTACTTCTGGTTGATCGTTTCTGTGTGTGTCTTCCAATCAAATCTCTTTTTAAGGTCGTTTTCAGCTCTTAAAACCTGTCGCCAGGAATTCGTGTTGTTCTTCCCAGGCTAGGAAATAAAATGAATTCAACTGTTTGATGTGGGAAACATTCACCTTAAGAAATGTCTGCATTCTTTTAGTTACTTTATGTTTATCTGAACTCGTATTATCTTCACTGTTAACCAGAAAATACCCTGGACGACAGAGTTTTTACATGCTAGCAGCAAAGGGACGATTTAAAGGCTGTGAGACACAGATCAGCTGGTATTTAATAAACACCTGTTTTATCTTAGCTGGTGATAAATCACTAAAATTCTGAGTGCTTGAAGCTGTCTGTAGCTTTTCCTGAATATCCTGAATATGAAAGTTGACGATATTCCAGATTTCTTGGTGTTTGGACAGAGCCACATCCACATCTAATGACAACAAATTATTTTTAGATCATATCTTAGTCTTTGTTGTTTTCACAAATCGAGCTAAGAAGTCTGACCCACCAGAGCCATGTCCAGTTTTTTGTGATGTCTTCATATGGAGGTGTTAGCCTGATTATTTAGTTGGAAACCTGAGAACAAACCAGGGTAGATCTAAAATATAAAAATGACATTTTTAGGTCACAGTAAAGTATATCAGCTGGGCTCTAACAGATAAAAACCTCTCTCTGGGTCCCGAAATCCATTTGTCTTCTGGGCTGCCCCCCCCCCTCAAAAGGACTGGACACGACTGAGTGCTTATTGGCCAGTTACTTACTAACCATAACCCTGACATGAACCGGCCAGGTCCTAATTAATGCAGCTAACCTTGGAATGTGGTAACAAAGTTTGTGTGTGTGTGTGTGTGTGTTTTTGTGTGTGTGTGTGTGTGTGTGTGTGTGTGTGTGTGTGTGTGTGTGTGTGTGTGTGTGTGTCCTTGTTGCTGCATCAGAGTGAGAACCATAATTAGTTTTTAACCAACCAAGTCAGGTCTTTCTTAGAAAGTGAGGACGTTTTCCTGGTCCTCACTTCATTTTGTGTGTGTGTGTGTGTGTGTGTG